TAGACCTTTGAGATTTAGGATACATACACTTAAGCCATCTGTTTCCTACAGTTTAGCTTACTTAAACCATATAGTAATAGCTTGATTGTTGCATCATAACATTGGGAGTTTATGCACTTAAAAGGTATTTACGATCGGGTGTATGAGGATAGAAAATGCAATATAAATGAATACATAATTCTAAATACTTCAATCTTTAATAATTTAGTAGGTGATAGACTAGGCTATGCGCTTACACTGATTGTTTCTAGATACCTTGTTTGTGAAAAGATACTTAAAAAGGATGTGAATTTAGTGAATTAGACAGACTTCATCAAATCCTGTTTGTAGGTGAGGAACACGCTGATAGGTTTTAAGGTTGATCTAGGTTAGTACTGTGTTAAGCTTCTGGTTGATAATAGAGGAGTTCCTCAGGAAAATAAGCCATATTTAAATGAACTAGAACTGTATATACTGGAGAGACTTTAGCGGCTAACTAGGCATCACTGACTCATTTATAATCCAAATAAAAAGCTAGGGGTTGGAGAGATGGCTCAGAGGTTAAGAGCACTGAACTGACTGCTCTTCCAGAGGTCCTGAGTTCAATTCCCAGCAACCACATGGTGGCTCACAACCATCCATAATGAGATCTGGTGCCCTCTTCTGATATGCAGGCAGAACACTATATACATAATAAAAAATAAATCTTTTTTTTAAAAGCTAAACAATGGTTTTATGCTGAGGAGAGTAACATCCTTTTCAAAAAGGTCATGGTATCTGGTGATTTTCACGAAAGAACCCAGTTATCAGGCAGTTTTAATCGTATAAGCAAAAGATGAGAGGAGTGTTGAGCCAAAATATTGGTTGCAGAAGTGGAAAAAAGAGTCAGTAGCATTTACTACAACTTACATAGGCTTTGGGGACCAGTTAAAGTGACTTCCCAGGAGCTGCTGAGGATTATAGAGTTTATTCATTACATATCCTGCTTGAACTTAGCCAAAGGGAAGCTGTTTTATTGGGTAGTCAGAGAGGTGAGTGGGTGCAGGTCTTCACTGTAAGTGGGCATAGATAAGTGACCAGAGATTAAAAGGATAAATCTGGCAACATTGGACCATAAAAACAGACAAAAACCAGAGCCTTGTTAATGTAAGGTGGGAAGAAAATCAAAATACTCTTCTGGAAGCCAAGAGAGTTTTGAACGTTGGCCTCATTTGGATGAGTCAATTTAAGCGAAAGTTTTCAACTGGTGAATTTGTGCTATAAGTACTATCAATAACGGGTTTCATATATGAGTCGTGGTGCCCTAACTTAAAATGATTGTAAAATTTGAAATTTTATATTATGAGCATACTTGTATGTCAGTGGACAGTGGAGATAAAGGTGGGTCTAGAGATGATGAAATACAATTGGAAAGTATAAATTGGAACAGAGATAGACCGTTTCTTAAACATGTCAGATACACATTGTCACATAACAGAGTTTTTGGTGGCTCATGAACTTAGAAACTCCTTGTTTGCTGATAGTCTAATCCGTTTAGAAAATACTGTGCTAGTAGATTTGTTACTGTGCATTGGTGTGACCTTGGGAGTACCCTCTTTAATTTCTTAATTTCGCTACCTGAAGATAAAATTGTTGCTCCATACGTTTTATGATACAAGTTTGAATTGGAAGGAACATAACTACAATTTCTAAGATCTTAAAGTCTTTGAAGTACTTTGTAAGCTTGAAGTTTTCTATTCAAAATTGCCTTTGTTCTTCATAATATTCCACTTAGATTGAAGTGGACATTGATAGCTTGATTGACTTTTTTTTTGTTTGTTTTACTTTGTGTGCATTGTTATTTGGCCTGCATGTATGTCTGTTAGGGTGTCAGGTTCCCTGGAACTAGGATTACAGACAGTTGTGAGTGCTGGGAATTTAACCTGTGTCCTAGGTGAGTGCTCTTAATTGCCAAGTCATCTCTCCAACCTGATTGGCTCATTAACATTTGATGATAATCCTTTCTTGTTGTTACAAAACTGACCCATTTAATTTTCTCCAGAAGTTCTTGCTTTGAATTTAAAGAGAAAATGCTTATAAAATTTGAAATTTTATGTCTGTGGACAGTCAGAGAGACTGAAACAGAATTGGAAAGTACAAATTGGAAAGACAAGTGTTACCTTATACCAATTCTTAAACATTTTGTTGACTTTTAAGCTTTAACCTTTGACATAACCTAAACATCTGTCTGTGTATTGAATTCCCTGCTGTTTTAAAACTCTGGTAGCTGAGTATGAACACAGTGGATTGGTTTACCAAAGATTTTGACAGAGTATCACAAGGTTTTTCCTCCTAACTTACTAGGAATCAAAGCTCCATTCAAAATGCTGTATATTTTGCTTTCTTGAAGGGTTGGTGCATCTTACTTTGTTAGTTTGTTTTTTTGAGACAGGGTTTCTCTGTGTAAACAGTCATGGTTGTCCTGGAACTTGATTTGTAGACCAAACTGGCCTTGAACTCACAGAGATCCACCTACTGCCTGCCTGCCAACTGTTGGGATTAAATGTGTGCACCACTATCACCAACACCTGATGAGTTAGTACATATTATGGGGTAGTTTTTTAATTGTTATTCTGCATGTTTGGATTTTTTTTTTTTTGTCTTTCTGACAGAATTCAAAGAAGCCTTTTCACTATTTGACAAGGATGGTGATGGGACTATAACAACAAAGGAACTGGGCACTGTGATGAGGTCTCTTGGGCAGAACCCCACAGAAGCAGAGCTACAGGACATGATTAATGAAGTAGATGCAGATGGTAAGTCTTCAGTTGTGGGGGCAGTTGGAGGGTATGTCGAAGAGGGGTTTACGTTCTATTTCATGTTTGTACAAATGATTTTCAGGTAATGGCACAATTGACTTCCCTGAATTTCTAACAATGATGGCAAGAAAAATGAAAGATACAGACAGTGAAGAGGAAATCAGAGAAGCATTCCGTGTGTTTGATAAGGTAAATGCAAGGACTGTAGAGAATGAAATGGAGCTAATGGGACGCACCTGTATTTTTTGGAGACAGCGTTTCTGACAGCTGAAACTGCTCTTAAGAACCCGTGTAGACTTAGGTTTCTGAGTCATGGCTCTTGCAGAAAAGGATCCATTGTGTATGTGCCTTTGGAATATAGGGACATCCTACTCAGTGACATCTGTAGATCGCCCAAGTGTGGATTCTCTTCACTTTATGTGAATATCCCTGCCCTCCCTTCAGAAGCGGGGTTTCTCTGTGTAGCCCTGTCTGTCCTGGACCTCACTCTGAGATCCACTGCCTCCACTTTATGTGATTTTCTAATATGGAGTTGTTGGTTGATAGTGTTCAGATATTACTCAGACGTTGTGTCCCGCTCTTTTGTAGGATGGCAATGGCTACATTAGTGCAGCAGAGCTTCGCCATGTGATGACAAACCTCGGAGAGAAGCTGACAGATGAAGAGGTCGATGAGATGATCAGGGAAGCGGACATCGATGGTGATGGTCAGGTAAACTATGAAGGTGAGTCACAGTCACAGCTGAGAAGCAGTGGTCTTTCCCTCCCAAAATGTGGGTGCTAACAGAGTTCTCACTAGGCTTTGGTCATTTAAAATGTGCCAACAAGACTAAAGCACTTAACTAAGAACTTTGAATGTCAGTTCTATACCTGCACCTGGAAGACATTTTACTAAGGTATTAACATTTGAATGAAACTGAACAGTTTCTGTAGAAGGTGGAGGGATAATTTGGAGAGTTTCAAATCTTCCCGTGGATTCCCTAAAATAAAGTAGACTTTGAATGTATCTGAGGAGGTTCTGTTTTTCTTTCTGACTCCTGTCTGGAACTGTTTGAATTTCAGCTTATCTGAGGCTACTCAGAACTTGGGTGCCCATTGCAGGGAGCAGGGCTTTAGACATGGAAAGGAGTCTAGGGAATTTTTGCCTTTTACTTTTTCACTTGTAGTTTTCATGACAGAACAGTTGCAAGTAGCATAAAATTTAACCTTATAAAACTTAGTTGATGTACTGAAGTTACAATTTGGACTGCTAACCCAACAACAGAGAAAAAATTCAAGTTCAAACTAAGCCAAGATTGTTTTCCTATCATGTTGCTGGGGATGAGCTTGGACCTACAGTCTAGGCAAGCATTCCACCAGTGAGCAGTACCTGCAGCTCCAACTTAAGTGGCTCTTGTTTAAGGATCCCAAATATAGTGAAGTTCCATCTTTGGCCATAAACTGACTTTCCTGTTACTGTATAGTTCCAGAAAAGGACTAGAAAATACAGAGTGTAGTGATTATGATTGCTTTTGTCATTGACTCATAATTTTGTGTTTCTTATTTTTTCAGAGTTTGTACAAATGATGACAGCAAAGTGAAGACATTGTACAGAATGTGTTAAATTTCTTGTACAAAATTGTTTATTTGCCTTTTCTTTGTTTGTAACTTATCTGTAAAAGGTTTCCCCTACTGTCAAAAAAATATGCATGTATAGTAATTAGGACTTGATTCCTCCATGTTTTCTCCCCTTATCTTCTGTCATTGTCCTCAAACCTTATTTTAGAGAATTGATGAAGTAACATGTTGCATGTGGCTTACTCTGGATATATCCAAGCCCTTCTGCACATCTAAACTTAGATGGAGTTGGTCAAATGAGGGAACATCTGGGTTATGCCTTTTTTAAAAGTAGTTTTTAGGAACTGTCAGCATGTTGTTGTTGAAGTGTGGAGTTGTAACTCTGCGTGGACTGTGGACAGTCAACAATATGTACTTAAAAGTTGCACTATTGCAAAACGGGTGTTTTATCCAGGTACTCGTACACTATTTTTTTGTACTGCTGGTATTGTACCAGAAACATTTTCTTTTATTGTTACTTGCTTTTTAAACTTTGTTTAGCCACTTAAAGAAAATCTGCTTATGGCACAATTTGCCTCAAATCCATTCCAAGTTGTATATTTGTTTTCCAATAAAAAAAATTACAATTTACCCAATTGTTGCTCTGAATCTGAGTGATTTAATATACCTTTTGGTGTAATGATTCTGGGACAGCTGTGGTCTTTTGAGACGGACTCCTGCTAGGAACTTCCTGCCTGTTTTACTCTTAGATTATGACCTGGTGTGGTGCACTCCTTTAATCCCAACTCTGCGTGCAGGGGCCATGTTAGTCCCGGGCCAGCCCAGACTCCAGTTGAGACTGTTTCCAAGAAGAAAAAAAGAAAAGCATTTCATAAATGAACATTTTGTAAGGAATTGGCACACACACACACATTCAGTGTTTACCATTTTTTTATTTGAAAATTTTGAATTTATGTGTGATGATTTTGCCTGCATGTATGTGCACCATGTGTGCCTAGTGCCTAGTAGTCAGAAGACAGCACCAGACTCCCAGAACTGGAGTCACACTTGATGTGCACCACCATGTGGGTGCTGGGAACCAAACCTGGGTCCTCTGCAAGAGCACCAAGTCCTGAACCAAATAATTTTACAGCCTTTCTTCCTCCCTTTTGAATAGTTGCAACTTTGTTAGGAGCTAATGAGAGGATACTATGATTTACCTTTGTTTCTTAATTTATCAGTAGAGAGAACTTTCAGGTGTGTTTATCTGCTTGCAGCACTTCTACCAAAAAGATAAGCAGTTAACTAAGCCATTCTTTAGGCTTTGCTTGCTTCTCCCATTGCTTTGTAAGTTCAAGACATGGTTATCAAGTTTTTTCTTGTTCTAACTCCCTCTTAAATATTTAATTCCATAGCAAAGATTGAAACACAAAAGTTGTTACTGATATTTGTGGCCCACAAGTTTTGAGCCTGCCCCAGAAAGTGGTAGTCCATTACACAGTGGGGTGTAGGCCCTTGTGGCATAGAGATATGGAGGGAGAGAAGTTAGGCACACTGCTGACTGCTGGTCCTGTTCCTCAGGGGAGAGCTTTGAGGAAATAGGTATCTATTTCTAGGCCCTTCCATTGGGTGGTAGTTTTAAAGGCTCAAGCAGGGTTTCTGACTGGAACATTCTTTCCAAGGTATTAAACGGCTTTCACATTTTGTTGCAATCCTGTTGACACCCTGAATGATTTTCAGGTCTGTATCCGAGCTCCAGTTAACTTACCTGTAGGATGCCCTCATGGTTTGTAACTTTGGAAAATGTCCAGTGAAATAGTGATTCTCTCCGTGTAGTCAGCCATGTTAAACCAGGTGCTGCTGCAAAAGGGCAACAGGCAATTACAGTATTTTTCTGACAATCTGGAAGTTCAAATAAATTAAAACCAAGATACAGATAGCCAAGATTAAGATTAAAGGGAGAATACCGTGTGTGTATGTGTGTGTGTGTGTTGGCTGGACTCAGACTTGGCAGCAATTCTGCCTTTGCCTTCTCAGTGCTGAAATTGAAATTACAGGTATGTGCTACCATGTCTGGTGTACTCAGTAAGCAATCATCTGAACCCTTGTTACTAGTTTTAGTTTAGCAGGATTATGGTAGTAGTTAATTCTTTAGTACTATTTGTCATGTGTTTGCTCTCAGGTTTCTGCCAGTAAAGCACTTAGAAAAAAAGAATTGTATGAGTGTATGAATCGTGTGCATGCAGTACCCATGGAGGCCAGAAGGAGGCGTCAGGTCCCCTGGAACTGGAGTTAACAGTTAACTGCCATGTGGGTGCTAGGAACTGAACTGGGTTATCTGCAAGAGCATCAAGTGTCCCAAACACTGAGCCAACTCAGGTCTGGGAAATCACTTTTGTGTCAGGATGTTGTGTTTAACCATTTATGGTATTGATTTTCAATTTGACATTCTTAAATTCATTGGACAGCAGTTTTTAGTAATAGGAATTTTAAAAGCTGTCATGGGAGGCTAGTTAAAATTGGGTTAGTCTAACTTTAAAAAGGGAAACTGGTTGTATTGGATTTTGTTGCTAAGAATGCAACCCTATTTCTAGACATATTTTTAATTGTGTATACATTTTAGGTTTTTTAAGGTTGCTTTCAAAGCATTCTGAGGTATTTGGCATAACTTGGAGTCACTCTTTAGCCTTCAGAGTTGAAGATTATCCTTGGAAAGTAATGTGTTTCCCCATGAAATTTAGTAAAAGCATTTTTGGAGGTCTGATGGATAACAGGCATTATTGAGCACTGACCATCTTGTGGTTCTGCCTTAAAACCTATTGTTAACCAGAAAAGAACTCGGGATCTCATACAATGGTGGTAGCTTTGTTTTTTGTTTTCCTTTTCAGACTTCCTCATATGCCCCAGGCCTCTAACTCTTCCAGCTTCCCCCCTGAAGTTGTCACCCTCCTCTCTCCACCTCCCAAACACTAGGATGCCCCCACACCCCAGCTGTGTGGTGCTTACGCGACTGGAGGGCTGGCACATGCCAGCCAAGAACTCTGCAAGTGAACTTTGGCCCAACCCCAGCTGTTTTCTTAGTTATATTCAGTTCGTTTTATGGGTAAAAGTCCTTGAAATCATTGACCCGTGGTGTTTCTATTTTTGAGGTTAACTACCCTTTCATCTGAATGTTCCCTTCTTCTCGTGTGGGTTTCTGGACTTCTCTGTACCTTCATATTCAGTCTCTAGGGTCTCAGTCCCTAGTCTACTGAGCCAGTTTTATTTTACAGCCTCAGCCAAAATAAGAAAGTGAAATGAACACAGGGGTGCACTTGATTAACCTGTTACATTTGAGAACTTAAACATTTATTTCCATCTTAACCATGTAATTTCCACTCATTTTAAACTTGGTTTATGGTACTTTTAAAAAGTCATAAATTGAGGCCAAGTGTGAATGTCTATAACCTTGGCGAGAAGTGGAGGCCTGGGCTGCAGGAGACTGAAGAGAAGAAACCCCGGATTGTGGAGAAATTAGATGAAATCCTAGTTTCCCAGATTACCAGCAGTTTCCGAGGAGTTGGAGACGCCTGCTGTGCAGCAAGAAAAGCAGGCTGGTCACCTGAGCCTGCTGAGCTAAAACCCAGAACCCACGTGGATGTCACAAAGGTGTCCTCACATGTGTGCTATGGTCACAATGTCACACACACACACACACACACACACACACACACACACACACAGAAGCAAATCTTAAAACTCAAGTTTTTTTTTAGTTCCTGTCCTGGGATTAAAATCAATTTTCATTTTAAAATCACAGGATGTTTCAGGAACATTTGAAAACATATGTATGTGGGTGTATTGCCTCCCCATGTAGTTTGAATGTTATGCCTGGTTCCAGGGAGGCCATATCCCCAGAACGGGAATGGAACCCAGGTTCTCTGGGAGAGCAGCCGGTGCTCTTAACTTCTGAGCAGTCTCTTCAGTCGTGAACATCAATTTCTGAAAGGCCCCACTGTTAAGATAAATTGCTACTGAGATATAACTGCTTTTTCAAATACTTAGTTCCTCTTGAGTTCCGATTTTGTTTTTAGGCAGAGGTTCCAGGACAACTTTTTTCTGCTCTCCATGTAGGTCCCAAGGGTATTAAACTCAGATCATGAGGTTTGCAGTCTCAGAGGCTCCCTCAGAGCCCTCCCGGCCCTGAGATTTTTTTTTTTGAAAAATGTTTATTTTATGTGTATGTGCCTGCTGCCTGCAGGGTTCAGAAGGTGTGGATGTCCTGGAACTGGAGTCACAAGATGGCTGTGAACTACCCTGTGGGTGCTGGGAACCGAACTCGGGTCCTCTGGAAAAGCAGAGTGCTCTTAGCTGTGGAGCCATGTCTCCAAGCCCACATTAAGGTGACTTTTAGGAGACAAACAACAGAGTTCACTCTTGAAAGTTGGTGATGGGAAACAAACCTCAAGCTGTTGAAGACAGTGGATCGGGTTTTGAATTCCGCCTCAGTGAGATGGTGTCACTGTCTGGGGAAGCCGTCATTCTCCAGATGGAGCTAACTTTAACACCTGCTTTTCTGCATTGCTGTGAGGGTTACCCGAAATGTAATACATGTGAGGAACACAGTAGGTCCTCCAGCAAAGGAATTAAGGTTGAAAAGCCGCCTTTAGAAGTAATCTTCGTAGGTTGAGAAGCTACGAGAGGCCCGAGGGCAAAGGGCTTACAGAAGAGATGGGTGGCTGCTCCCACAGCTGGTGTTCCGCATGGCCCCCACCCCACCCTGGCAGTGGATGTCAAGGGAGAACTCCGCCTTAAAGCTAACTGCACCTACCGGTTTCCTTTCTAGGATGTGGGGCTGGGGCAGTTTGTGAGGGAATGGTGGAAGTTGCGGGGGCCATCAGGTGTGGCCAAGCCTGCCCATGCGCACACACACACACACACACCCATGAACTCGGGCAACTTCATAGTCCCCATACTTTATGACACACACACGTGACCGTCTCTAAGGATGCCCACCGAGTCAGCTTCGCAGGGGCCGGGCCAGGGCATCACTTCCCTGTCCCCAACAGTGGAGGTGACCGGCAGGACTCTGCACTGGTCTTTCACACGCGCAGACTCAGAATCGGCGGGTGGCCGGGGCTCCTAGCAACCGGCTGCCAGCCCGGGCCTGGGGAGAGAGGAGGTCGCAATGGACGAGCCAGCCCCCGCATCCATCAACCACCCCTCCGCAGTACCGAGAGAAAACCTGGGACGCGGAGAGTCGCTCGTCACGACCTCGGTAGGGGAGCCCGCCCTTGCCCCCCTCCCCCACTCCCGCTGCCTCGTCTCGCCGACCCCGGTGCCTTTCCGAGTCCTTACTCCCAGGCCTGATCCCTGCTTAGGACTTATCGGGCCCCGCAACGGATTTTCCTCCGTTTATTTGATTGTGATTGGGTTTCTTTTTTTCTCCTGCCTCCTTTACCTTCTCTCTCCATCCTTTTCTCTTTTTTTTTAAATTTTTTTTTATTTTCCCCCAACTACTTGCTTCAGTAGAGCGATTAGATTTCCTGCCCTTTCTCTCTGTTAAAGAAACGAACGGAGACATGTTCTGCCCTGCCTCCTACTTGAGAACTTTAAACAATAAGTTTGGGGAGGGTGCTTAGCCTATCATTTATCTTCTCCTTTACAGTTAATTTAAAACGATAGACGGTGGGATCATAGATCACTCGCCTCAGCCAGCCGGACAACTTTCTCCGGACTGGTCCCATTTCCCTCCCTGCTGCCTCACTTCTCCGCTTTGGAGGGAGATGTGGGAAACCTGTTTGACCTGCCTGAGGACTTTTTGTGGCTGCAAAAATGAGCAACTGAAAAACAACCGGAATTTATAAAAAAGGGTGGGTGGAGAGAGCTTGAATCCAATGAGTAGCAGGGCATACCAAGCACGGGGATTCGGATGTATAGCAAGGCGTGTCAAACCTCGGGGACTGTTTTGACTTTTAGACAAATGTACATGTTTCATAACTACTATAGAACTTGTGGAATCGTTCTTGCTCGAGATAACCATATTTCATAATGAATATTATTACAAACAGCTGGGTTCTGTGGAACAGTGGGCCTGAAGCAAACTCAGACTCACCTTAAGTGCTTGTAGAATGAGTGTTTCCTGTGAAGACAAGAACCCCATTGGAAACTGAGGCATGCCCAAACCATCTGCTCTTAACTTGGCAGATGAGATGTTAAACATAAAACCTACCATTTCCTGAGCAATGACTTGATAACTGTGGTTGTGGGTGTGTGTCTCCCTCTCCTGCCCCCCCTTCTCTCGAGACAGGGTCTCCCTATGTACCCCCTGGCTGGCCTGGAGTTCACTGTGTGGACCAGGCTGGCCTAGAACTCACAGGGATCCACCTGCATCTGTCTCCCTGGTTAAAGGTATGCACCACCACCCCTCCACATGCTTTTATATTTCTGTGAGAAAGCATACTACATGAAGATTGGTTGAGCAACTTTCCCTGTTTAGCTGCTGGGCAAAAGAGCTGTGACCTGTTGTTCTTCGAACGTCTCTGTGAGATAGGGATGCTTATTTTAATTTCACCAAAGGGATTTGAGAATCTTAAAATCACGTAATAGCTTAACACTTGAAGGAAATAGTATGGGCAAAGTGTATCATCATGTACCTTTCATTTTCATGACAGCTAATTGGTTTGGTAGAGGCTCTTCGAGTAAATATTTTATACGTCATATATAGTTTCAAGAGATCACCTTCTAAACAAGTAAGCAGATTTTGTGTTTGCTCATAGAAACAGATCCGGAAGAGTTCAACTCTTGATAGAGAAGGATGGTGGAGGGTTACATTAACGGTGTGTATATTCCCACTCCTTCCCATTTAAGTTCTTTCGTTCCTGTTAAGGTTTTAACCAGTCTTCTCTTTTAAGTTGGCAACACTTAACTGTGAGAAAACTGTTTGTCTGGATCTACATAGGTTATGTTTCCCGCTTGTAATTTTAGGATTAGCATATGAACGAGAAACGAGCTTTAAGTGTTGAACTTAGTGAGGTTTTAGAACTAGGGTTCTGGGTCCTTTACTGGGCCCATCATAATCGACCTTACGGTCTCTGTCACATCTTTTGTGGAAGGGGATCTGGCTTCAGATTTTTATCACTTACGGCAGAGAAGTCAGTTTGCTAACATGGAGGCTTAGTTACCACTGCTGTGAGGAAACTCCATGACCAAAAGCAACTTGGAGAGGAAAGGGTTTGTTCAGCTTACACTTCCAGGTCCATCACTGAGGGAAGTCAGGACAGGAGTTCAAAGAGGACAGGAACCTGGAGGCAGGAGCTGATGCAGAGGGCATGGAGGGTGCTGCTTACTGCCCTGCTCCTCATGGCTTGCTCAGCCTGCTTTCTTATAGAATCCAGGACTACCTGCCCAGGGATGGTGCCCCCCACAATGGGCTGGGCCCTCCCCAGTCAATCACTCACTAAGAAAATGCCTCACAGCTGGATCTTATGTAGGAATTTTCTCAGTTGAGGATCCCTCCTTTCAGATAACTAGAGCTTCTGTCAAGTTGACTCAAGACTAGCCAGCACGGGTGGTCAGTATACATAAAGGACATAAAGACAAGGGAATGGTGAATGGCCAGTTCACTCTCTCAAGGGGCAGTTTCTGTATTACAGACGCTTTCTATCAAAACGCTTCAACGATAGGGCAAATTCCAATTGAATTCGTCTTAACAGGAGAAACGGGCAGACCTTGAAAGACAGCCACAGAACAGTAGGGACTGAAACCTCAGATTCAGGCACGTAGCACAGTGTGGCCACGATTTGAAGTACCAAACCTCTTCTTGGTCTCCAGACCATGTGCTGTACCAGTCCAGCCTCATCCTGAGGCTGGTATTACATTTCACCTCACTCTCAAAGCTCCTTAGACACATCATTCCCACGTCTAAAATAAACTATTTAAATAAAATAAAAAATTAGTTAAAAGAGGCTGGAGAGATGACTCAGTGGTTAAGAGCACTGGCTGCTCTTCCAGAGGACCAGGGTTCTATTCCCAGCACCCACATGGCGGCTCACAACTGTCTATAACTCCAGTTCTGGGGGAGCCAACACCCTCACAGACATACATGCAGGGAAAACACCAATGCACAATAAACAAACAAATAAATCTTAAAAGAATCTACCGGCTTTTAGGGGAGCCTTTAGCTACCCACCAAACTGCTCTGCATTTGCCCAGTGGCCTGCAACCTATAGTCTAAAGAATGACAATTGTATCCTTGTCACCTTTCAACAAATTAACTTTTGGGCTAGTGAGGAGACTCAGCAGATAATGGTGCCTGCCGCTAAGGCTGAGGACCCGAGTTCAATCCCCAGCCCCACGTGGTAGAAGGGCTTTTTGTCCTCTGGCCTCTACATGTTCACTGTGGTACATGCCAGCCCTCATGCCACTTTCTTCTTTTCCTAGACAGGTTTTCATCTATAGCCTTAGCTGGTCTGGAACTCATTATGTAGACCAGGCTGGTCTTGAGATTAAAGGCCACCCGTAATATAGTTTAAGGTAGCTTTTAGATGTTCAGCAGTTGCTCCAGAATGGAAACAATCAGCAATGCTTTTGAAATAGTCTTCTATCAAGAGTGTTTGGGGTGGGGGTAGCTGGAGAGGTGGCTCAGCGATTAAGATCACTGGCTGCTCTTCCAGAGGACCTGAGTTCAATTCCCAGCACCCACATGGCGGCTCACCATTGCCTTAACTACAATTCTAAGGGCACAATGTGGCAAGACTCCCTTATGTGTAGAATGAAAGTAAATATTTTTTTAAATGTCTGTTAGGCTCAGCAGTTAAGAGCACTGGTTGCTTTTGCAGAGGACCTGAGTCCAGTCCCCAGATTCTACATGGTGACTCTCCATTGTCTATAACTTCAGTCCCAGGGGATCCAACATCCCTTTCTGACTTTTGTGGGCACCAGACACACACGTGGTCCACACACGTACGTGCAAGTAAAACCCTGACGACACCTTTAACCTAGCACTTGGGGAGGCAGAGGCAGGCAGATTTCTATGAATTCAAGGCCAGCCAGGACTACATAATGAGATCCTGTCTCAAAAATGAAATTAAAACAAACAAAAACACCGAATCATGTAAAATAAATAAATTGCACATTTGTTAAAATTGATTTAAAAAATTCTTAAATTTAGAGACAAATGCCACATAGACATGGTGGCATTTTAGGGGAAGGCGCAGGTCTACGCAGTGATCTTACAACCATGTCAATTTCCCACAGAATACTCCAATACCTGGCACTTACCACATAAAGACTTTTATTGAAGAGTCGCTATTAAATCCAGTGAAAGCAACCTACAATTTTAAAAACGAAGGGAGGAAAAGGATACCACTTGTGCAGAGAAACGACCCAGTCCCAAACGACCTCCCGCAGTACAAGCCCCCCGACTTCCTGGAGCTGTTGAAGAAGCAGATGGCCTCCTACTCATTCAAAGACCAGCCCCGGCCCAACCCCAGCACTCTAGTTGACAAAGATGAGGTAAGGCGCTACTATCAGGTGGGGTTCTGGGAGAAAAATTGCCACGTGTACACTGGGGCGAAGGAGCTTCAGGCGAAGAGTATAAACCCTACCCCCAAGGAAAACCCCTGGGCCCTCTCATTCCCCATAGAAATGGAGCAAGGCAGAAGATGGCCCAGCAGCCTGAACACTTGCTGCTCTTCCAGAGGACCCAAGGTCAGTTCCCTGCACCCATGTCAAGCAGCTCGCAGCTGTCTGTAACTACAGTTCCAGGGAATCCAATGCCACTGGCCTCCTCAGGACCTGTATGTCTACAAACCCATACCGTGAGCACAAACACACACACACGCACACGCACACGCACACGCACGCACGCACGCACACTTTAAAAACAATAAAACCAAAGAAATGTAGAGATGGAACAAGGACTTGCAAATGTGTCCAGTGAGCCCTTTCCTGTGAGTCTTAACCCAAGGAGAGGCATGTCCTGGCACCCCCTCACCTGCGGACCCTCAGGTTTGGGCGTGGGCCACACACTGGCCTCTTGAAGCAGCTGATGTGGTGGCTCCTAAGGGGAAGGCGCTGCCTCTTGCAGATCTCCTGAGTGTGAGCTTTTAAAACTCTCTCTTGGCTGGGGTGGAGCTCAGGGGTGGAGCTCAGGGGCGGAGCCTGTGCTCAGAGCTCCCAAAGCCCGGGCTCGCCTGACCCTCAGCACCAGAAGAGACAAGAAAAGAAATTTCTGTTTTCTTTCGGAAATGAGTCTGTCTGTAGTCATGGAAGGGTCCAGTCCCACTCTCAACCCCAGCAGCTCGCCGGCGGCCCTGACAACCGAGCGCCGCTGTGCTTTCGGTTCTAGGTTGTGCCAAGGGGAAATGCTTCAGTACCAAGACCAGATACAAGTCAAGGGCTGAGATAGTGTGACCAAGGGAGCACCAAGGGACAGACAGCTCAGTGTCTGTCGGCTGGATGGAAAGCATCTAGTTACGTAGGGTTTAACCCGTTCTTGATTGGCAAACATGGTTTCTTGTGTATGACTTTCGTTGTTGTTTTGAGACAGGGTTTCTTTGTGTACTTTGGACTGTCCTGGAACTCACTCTGTAGACCAGGCTGGCCTCTATAGAGATCCTCCTGCCTCACCTCCCAAGTGCTGGGATTAAAGGTGTTGATCACCACCACCCAGCATGACTTTTTCTAAAAATTATAATTGTGTGTGTGTGTGTGTGTGAGTGTGAGTGTGATTAGAAGTTTGAGGTGCTGGGTCCCCTGGAATTGGAGTTACAGGTAGTTGTGAGCTGACTGACATGGTGCTGGGAACTGAGCTCAGGTCCTCTTCAAGTGTCCTTAACCACTGAGCTGTCTCTCCAACCCCCTCGTGTGACTCAAGGCTCACTACAGGCGTCCTCGGACTCTCTTAACTGAGAACCTTGAAGAAGGTTGGAGATACTGTTTCTGTTTCACCTATAGGAAAACTGCTGTAGAAAAGAACTGAGTAGCTGGCATTGGTGGCGCACGCTTTTAATCCCAGCACTCGGGAGGCAGAGGCAGGCGGGTCTCTGTGAGTTCGAGGCCACCCTGGTCTACAGCGCAAGTTCCAGGACAGCCTCCAAAACAATACAGAGAAACCCTGTCTCGAAACACACACACACACACACACACACACACACACACACTAAGAACTGAGTAACTCACCCAGGACACAGTAAAATAGACAAGAACTCTCTCTCTCTCTCTCTCTCTCTCTCTCTCTCTCTCTCTCTCTCTCTCTCTCTCTCTCTCTCTCTCATCAAAATGGTTTCTCTGTATAACCCTGTCTGTCCTGGAATTAGCTCTGTAGACCAGGTTGGCCTCAAACTCACAGAGATCCGCCTGCTTCCCAAGTGCTGGGATTAAAGGCGTGCACCACCTTGAGGCAGCACTTTTTTGTTATTTGGTTTATTTTTTTTTCGAGACAGGGTTTCTCTGTATTGTTCTGGAGCCTGACCTGGAACTCGCTTGGTAGACCAGGCTGGTCTTGAACTCACAGAGATGCGCCTGCCTCGAAGCAGCACTTTTAACTGAGAGTTTTGACCATAAATGCAGCCCTCTTTCCCATCTACCATGGACTCTACCCACAGTGAGGAGGCAGGCAAGGGTTAGATAGCTCGAAGCCATAGGATGCACTTCTGGGCTCTTTGAAGGGATGTGTGAAGGGAGGTTACTTGGAACTTCAGTCATTCTCAGTTCTCTATGTCTTAGTGGGAAGAAGCGACCATCCATCCTCAAAATGCATGACTGATGGTTGAGCTGGGTACAGTGGTACATGCCTGTAATTCCAGACTGAGGCCGAGGCAGGAGGATTTCAAGTTCCACGCACGACAGCTTGGGCTCCATAATACTTCCGCCAGAAAACAGAGTATTCTAATTAAAACCCTCAGAACGCCTTAGATGCCAGGCAGAGGCAGGCAGAACCTTGAGGCCAGCCTGGTCTATACAGAGAGTTCCAGGACAGCCAGGACTACATAGAGAGACCCTGTCTCAAAACAAAACAAACAAAAAACCCTTGACTTCAAAAACAAAAAACAAAAAGCAAGGAAGAGTTGTGATTGCTAAATGAACGCAAAACTTTCACCCAGAGATGGGCACACACGTGCAACATGGAGTTGCTAATGCTTCACCCATCCGAGCTGCCACCGAACAGACTGGAAGGTTCCTTGGGTAAACCTGATTCTGTTTGCTTCAGTGAACAAATACAAATCCTGGGTTATACTTGGCTTTACGGCTTGCTATCAGGTAACCAAGCTACGGGTGAAATCCTCCTGGCCACCTAACTCATTTTCTGCCATTTACTCCCACTACCTGCTTCCTGTTTGGTTCTACACTCATACCCGGGGGCTAGCCAAAGGCTCACCATGGAAATACCGCACAGAAGGTTCTACTGGGCACAACTAACAACCTTAATTAAAACACCCACGGCTTTAGCTTACCCAGAGGGCTGGACAAGCCTTCGGCAAACACAGTCTTCCTGTTTCTTTATTGTCTTTTCTCCTGCCCTCTCAGAGGCTCACAAAGGATTAAGTTCCAGAAGCTGGGAGTTCATTGTTTTCCTCTGTGGAGGTATCTGAGAACACACTCAGAAGGGAGACTGTCTGTAGGAAGAAATGCCGTCTCCTTGCATGTACAGAATTCGAATTCTGATGTTTCAATAGCCGACCTCAGTGAATAATTTGGATCAGAGCATTTGTTAAAATAGTATGGTAGTCTCGGTTTTAATAGAGTATAGCTCCTCCATCCTGGTGGTCTTTTGTTTGTGTTTTTTGGTATCTTGAGCCATAAAAGTGGGCTCTCTCTCTGCTCCCAGCCTGGTTTTCCCTGTGTTGCAGCTAGCCAATGGCCCCTGGTTCCTCCCCTTATTTCTGAAAGAATTTGGCTTCCTTTACTCCCTGTGCCTCCCTGCCACCCCCACGGTGATTTCTGTGCCCACAGAGATGACTTGTCAACAGCTGGCTTCTTGGTTTCGTCATCTCTCCTCTATCTCAGCCACTCGCTTAGTTGTTTTTCTTCAAGACTCGTAATTTCAGCCCGCCATAGTGTCGATTAGAGGACTCTTCTCTGGCCAGGGTCTAGCAACCCTGCCCCCATTCCTCCCGAATTCACCAATTTTTCCTCTTCTTACTGCTCTCAGCCCTCTCTTGTCTTCTCTTTGTCACAACCTTAGCCAGTCACAATGCCCTCTCCCCAAGGCCACTGTCACCATCCCTCACTTGTTTGGCAAAGCAATGCTTTGGTTCAACCTGACCGTGTGTCTGGTAGCTGTGCCCATGATGTTATTTATTTACTTATTTTTTATGTGCGTTGGTGTTTTGTCTGCATGTTTGCCTGTGTGAGAGGTGCTGAATCCCCAGGAACTGGAACTATAGACAGTTGCAAACTGCCCTGTGGGTGCTGGGAATTGAACCCCGGTCCTCTGGAAGAGCAGTCTGTGCTCTTAACCGCTGAGCCATTGCTCCAGCCCCTGCATTCATGTTCTTAAGGGACTATCTCATTTTAGGGCCTTGGCGGCCAGTGAGCATCAAGGGGGCTTCTTAGTCTGCTTGCATTCCCTCTCCTGCGTGGCCCTGGCTCTCACCGGGACACTTCTTTTCATCCCTCAGTCTTGGTTTTTCTTCTCAGCCCTTCTTCACCGTTTCTGCTCCCCTGTCCCAACCTATTCATCTTGGAGAGCCCAGGAATTCACGCTCTTCCCCTCTGCACTGTCCCCCGGATAGTGAGCTCAGCCAGTCTCCGGGTAGTGAACACCACCTATTTGTCGGCGATTGCCAGAATCCATGTCTCCCGCCTAGATGGCTCCCTGAGTCCCGCTGCCTTTTTGATCTCTTATACTTGGACGGTGAATGTAAGGTTTCTCAAGCCCAGTACTCCTGTTTTGGTAAGTCTTCATGCTGGTGTGTAGGCATCTTGCCTGTGAACTTGTAACGGTGGCCACACCCCTTTGGGTATGGCTTCAGGCAGAAGGAAGTGGAAAGAGGGAAGCATAAGGCATGGTCTCACTGGTGCGGGTCTTTCTCTTGGGTCAGCCTATCCGGTAGGAAGGGCCGAGAATCTCCCCCACGTTTCTTCGTATTTTTCTGTGTAAGTGTTCCCCAATAAACACCCACTTATCTTGGGCCTAGTGAAATCACTACACCCTCGCCTTCACTGGAAATCTATTCTGCACATTGCCACTGGCCTCTACACATTAGATGTCATCGTACTCTTTCCTCCCAGTTTTAATAGCCCAAACCATCACTAAACATCGCCAAGTGTCCCTGGTGGGTGGCAGTGCTCTGCCTCCTGACCCCGGGTAAAGGCGTTTGTGATGCGTGTGTGGCCTCCAGACGCTTTTCCTTAGGGTTAACGGGCCTGTTGGGAGTGGAGTTGCTTGCTCAATGTCTTCCTTAGCAAATTCATTCAGGGCCGGTAGGAATGCTACTGCTGTCCCTTTCCACACACGTGCTGCTGTGTTCCGAGGCGCCAATGAATTGCTTTTCCAGTTCTCGAGGTCT